GAGTGCATTGCTTTTGAGATAACGTTTGAAGAACTGTCTGCCTCCTTGGAGCTGAATAGAGGGCTAGTGGGAAGATTAAAACAATAAGCTTATTATATTATTAGTAGTGGGAGAATTCTAAACCCCATTTGTTCAATTATGGTCCCTTCAATATGCTTATTTAGGTTCTTGTAAATTGTAATCAGTAAATTAGACGTGCTGCCCTCACAGCTCTAGGGTTAGCTTTCAAGGGACTTCCTACGTTTTTTTTTTTTAATGATTATAGTGAAATCAAGAAGGGAATTAGTTGTTTGATATGCAAGGTTGGCTCTGTGTAGTGGATGCTGGCTGCATTCTGATATCTATCATTACTAAATGAAAAACAGTGGTTGTGATGCTGCAGCGCTGCTGTCTGAGCAGAGCAAGCTCAGAAAAGGCTAAGACTGTAACCACGTTATGTGCTATGTGATAAAAATGGTAGCTAAAGCCATTAAAATGAACACAGACTGATAAATGAGACCATTGTAAAGTCTCCAAAAGCCAGCATATGTTGCTAATAGTTATCTGAGGTAACTCAAGAGGGATGTAAAATCTTCAGTATCACCTTCTATATAGAAATATCATGTGTCATCTCTTTGTGGTGTTTTTCCCCCTTTCTTTTCTCTGTATTTTGCCTTGACAGTTTTAATATTGAGCATTTGGTACTAAAACAAATCATCTAGCTGAATCATCCAGAGCTTTTTCTTTCCTCTTTTACCTTTCTAGATGGACTCTTAAGTTGCATCACACAGAGACACCATTTTCAAAAGAAACACCTCTTCCCTTTCAGCTCAAATATTTAACTGGAGATTTCAGCAGGTTTGGGAAACAGGCTGCTCAGCCCTTTGCAAGGGCTTTATATATCTTTGTAATTTAAAGAGCCTTTTGCCTTCCTGAGAAGTGGTGTCTGTTTTTTCTGTGCAGATAAATTGGGTATTTGTTGCAATACTAGATCATGCAAACTCCAATATCCTGACCATATTGTCCCCATTTATTTCTTTTATCTCTCTGTTTAATATAATAGGAATAGCGGCTGAAGCAGGGAAACATATGCAGCAGCATAATAGTATATTGTTTGAAAGCAGTTGTCTTCCATTTCCAGGGTTTCTCTTTGAAATGTAATTGTCTGCTAATATAACTGGGAAATATTATTGCAGGAGTGATCACTAAAGCGTATGCTTGTGCTTTTTGTTCATATTACATCTGTATAGTATTTTTAAAAGAAACTGGATGCAACTTTAGCTAGTTAAATATCGTTGGTGAGATACGCTTGCAGAAGTTACGATAGGCATATTGCCACCGAATGTGGAAACAACTCCATGTAGTGCCAAAACAAGAAATGCTGTGTCCCATGTGTAATGCAGCAACAACAGAATTACAATTGCCTTGTGTAAAGTATCTGGTAATGAAGGCAGATAATGGAATTCTTTGCAAAAGCAGATGCTAACTGGCTCCCCAATGCTAGGCAGAGAACTGAAAACTGATACCAGCTGGAGGGGAGAAAAAACAGCTGAAAAAGGCATTAGAAAGAAGATGCGTTAGATGCACGTTTGTTTAAGCAGTAAATACTTGTTTAAAATAATCTTGTGAGATTCTTATTAAGAGGCAAACTGAGACTACGATTACAATGTTATAGGAAGTCAGCTGGATGCCCAAAGGATATTTGTATGCAGATTGGATGAGTAACGCAAGGACACCCTGGGAATAGTGCATTATCATTTACACTGCAAGGCTGGCTGGTGGGGACAGCCCTTGGAAGTGTTTAATTGCAGGAGGTGGGGCTTGTGAGAGCCAGAACCTTCTGTTGTTCGGGGAGGAGACAGCATGCCCTGCTATGGGAGGCTTGATTTCAAAAGCAGGGGTATCTCTGCTTGTCTCTACATGCATGAACATGTACACACACACTTGCGTCTTCTCCGGCAGCACTCGATAACGGTGCCCTCCTCCTGGGCTGGAAGCGGCGCTCGGCACGTAGCATCTTCATTGTTTCCTCTGTAGTCTCCCTCTATTTTACTACTCCAGTCCTCTCAGCCATTTCAAATAGTTGCTTCATAAATGAATGTGATAATTTAATGAAAGGCTTAGTCCACACAGAGCTTTCCTTCTGTTTTTTAAGTATGGATTTTTTCAAAGAAAAACATGCAGCAGGGAAAATCCTTTTGGAAAAAAAAGAAAAAAAAAGCAACTTGATGACCTGTGGAGTTGGTCTCTGTTGGTATCTGCCCAGATAAATTTTTCTTTACCCAAAGCATTATTCCCGCAGTGGGGGGATTACTGGCGCAGCTGGAGTGCTGAGCTGGGCATCAGCCCACCAGGTTTCTAGTCCTGGCCCAATGCAGGCAGACCAGAAACTTTAGTGGGGCTCTGTCTCATCCCAGGCAATTGCCCTAACTACTGATTTTTGGAGGACTAGAACTTACTTTTAGTTTCAGCCCAGCATGGAACAGGAATATACGTATACTTTGGAACAGCTAACATTTTTCCCATGTGAGAAAACTCATTTTGGGCTGCTCGAGCAGGAAGAAACTGCAGAGTTTACAGACTTACTGATACTGGTAGTCTCAGAAGGCACTTGTCTGCAGATAGAGGCTGGAGCAATGTGTCTGTGTGTGGTGTCACAAAGCTGCTCCTGCATCAGGCTCATGTTGCGGAATTTCAAGGAGTTTTACTGACGAGCAAGAAATGAGTTTTGAAGCAGTCTCTGAAGATGTGGAGCTTCATCTGTATGACGTTTAAGCATGTGTGTTCTCCTTGCTCCTTCACCTCTTTTCTGTGCGTCCGAGTCTGCGTTGCTAAAAACATGCTTTAAACGTGTGCTCTGCTCCTAGAAAATGAAAGTGAGATGTGTTGTCCATGTAAAACGAGCAATGGAAGGAACTGAGGCAGAGCAATGATCAGTCAACAGCATCCCTCCAGAGCACTGATTCTTCGCTTTATCCACAAAAGTGCAATCACTAAGAAATCCCTTTTCTATTGATGACCTGTTCTTAATATTCTTACGGCTGGGGTACGCCGCAGCTACTTGCTGCGCTGTAATGAGTTGTTTGTCTAATTGTGGTAGGCAGAAAATGTCTTAGTGCTCCTCAGGTCTGGACTTCGCTTAATGGGAAAAGAATGTTAAACCTCAGCGGTGTGAACAAAAAGCGTGTGGCTGCGTATGTGCTTGCATCTGCTGTACTTTCAGAAGCACTGTTTTCGAGACCTTTCGTCGCTTGCATTTTTTCAGC